TATTTATTTTTAGTTGTAGTTAGACACAATACCTTTATTTTATTTATTTATTTTTATGCCATGCTAAGGATCAAACCCAGGGCCTCGCATGTGTTAGGTGAGCACTCTACCGCTGAGCCACAACCCAAGCCCCCAATATTATTATTAATAGTATTACTTCTGGGGCTGGAGATATAGTTCTGTGGTAGAGTGCTTGCCTGGCATGCTTGAGGCCCTGGGTTCATTCCCCAGTACCACCACCCCCCATACACACACACACACACACAAAGTATTATCTCTATTCCCTTTTAGAAAACTTTTCTTTTCTTTGAAATGGGAAATTGAACCCATGGGTGTTTTGCCACTGAGATACATCACCAGTCCTTTTTGAGACAAAAAAGGACTGAGGCTAGTATCAAACTTGCAATCCCCCTGTCTTAGCCTTCAGAGTCACTGTGCCCACATGGTCTATAAAAGTTCTTGAAAATTTTGTCAGTAGCTGTGTGTGGTGGCACATGCTTGCAATCCTAGCTACTTGGGAGGTTGGGGAAGGAGGACTATAAGTCCAAGGCCAAACAAAAAAGTAAAATGGGCTGGAAACATAGCTTATACATGTGGTCCTGGGTTCAATCCCTAGTATTGCAGGGGGTAAAAAGAGTTGTTAGGCTGGGTGTTATTATACACCTATAATCCCAGCAGCTCAGGAGGCTGAGGCAGGAGGACCACAAGTTCAAATCGGCCTCAGCAATTTAGTCAGGTCCCAAAGCAACTCAGCAAGACCCTGTGTCTGAATAAAATTAAAAAAAAAAAAGGCTGGGGAAGTGGCTCAGTGATTAAGCAGCACTGGGCTCAATCCCCGGTACCAAAATTTTAAAAATAAATAAATAAATATAAATTTAAAAATAGATCAAAATAAATACATAAATATTTGATTTTTTTTTTCAGTGCTGGGGATGAACTCTGGGCCTTGCACATCTAGGCTAGTTCTCTACCACTGAGCCACATCCCCAGCCCCCAAAATTTTAAAATTTTGACAGTGTCTCCCCTAAGTTGCCAAGGTTGGCCTGGAACTTGTGATCCTCCTGCTTCAGTTTCCTGAGTTGCTAGGATTACAGTTGTGTACCACCATGCCTGGCTTCATTATTTTTTTTAAATCCCACTGGAATTTTATTGAGATTGCACTGAATCCATAGAATTCCTCTATTCTTTTTTCTCCTCTTTTTATTTTCTGGTGCTGGGGATTGGATCCAGGACCTTGTGCATGCTAGGCAAATACTCCACCACTGAGATATAGCCCCAGTCCTCAGCTTCATTTTTTTTAATATTTATTTTTTAGTTGTAGTTGGACACAATGGCTTTATTTTATTTATTTATATGTGGTGCCAAAGATCGAACCCAGGACCTTGCACATGCTAGGCGAGTGCTCTATTGCTGAGCCACAACCCCAGTCCCTCAGCTTCATTTTTTGCTTGGACTAATCCTTTAAACTCTCCCAGTTCATCTTCTTATTTCCACTTATGACCCATAAACTCTCCAGAGAGCAACCAGAGTGATCTTTTAAAAATATAAATCCTACTACTCATACTCTGACTACTTCTATTGAAGCTAAAGGATCACAAGTTGGAACTTAGTGAAACCTAGTTTAAAAAGGATTGGGGATGTAGCTCAGTGGTAAAGTACCTTTTGTTCAATACCCAGTACCAAAACTAATCATCATCATCATCATCATCTAAAACCAGATGGATTTTTCTAATTTTCAGACTTACACACACACACACACACATATACACACACATTGCTTCTCAGCCTTTTGGCTAAGATCAAGCATACACACACACACATTCATATATATACAATAGAGAGAGATTCGTGAGTTAGAGAATGAACATGGGGCAGGGGTATGGAGAAAGTGCTTCTTTCTGGCACTATTTATAAAGGAAAAACTACATGTAGAAAAAACATAGCCAGACCCGAGTTTAAAACCCAGTTATGAACTTTAAACAAGTGACTTAATTTTTATGAGCCTTATTTTCCTTATCTGTAAAATGGAGATAATGATATTTGTACTTCAGAGTTGCTGTGAGACTAAAAGGACCTGCCCACAGTTGTTGAGTATTTGATAAATGACCACTGTTGTTAGGATCAGTGCACTCACCTGTGACCTGGAAGGGAGTCTGGATGAGCCGCTGCTGAACTCCCCTTAGGAGCTCCTCTATTTCCTTCTGTATGTTGCAGACAACCTCTTCCATCAGGCCTACATCAGCTATTCCTTTCCAAAACATCAATGTGTCCTCTGGCACAAGAGGATAAGATAGAGGGTAAACAAAGAAAGCTACCTAGGCACATCTCTACAATGTTTAATTCAAAATTATTTCAATTCAAAAGGATTTCTTGTTGGGTTGTTACTGGAAAAAGGGAAAGAACTTTGGGACACTAGCTGCCTTCCTGAGTTGTTACTTAATTATTTGGCCCCTTCAGTCACTTAGGAGCTTGCCTCAATTTGTCATACCCTTATTTTGTTATGGCTCTGTCTATAAAAACAGATAATTAAATAAATTAAAAAATTAAAAAACAAAAAAGAAAAAGATTTTCTTCTAATAAAGAGAGTAAGCGAAATGCTAAACATTAAATATTTATTATTAAGTATTGATTACATTCAAATTTAATTTTAAGTTGGATAATATTTAATATTATTAAGTTAAAATAATAAAGATATTAAACTAAATATTAATTAAAAGATATACTCTCCCTTATTGGATAGATAGCACTATAAGCTCCCTGAGGGAGCCTGGGGTTGTGGGTTCAGTGGTAGAACGCTTGCCTAGCACGTGTGAGGCACTGGGTTTGATTCTCAGCACCACATAAAATAAAGGTATTGAGTTCATCTACAACTAAAAAAATATTAAAAAAAAAAAAAGTTCCCTGAGGGAGGTTGCCATGACTTTTCATTTATGCACCTAGAATCTTGCAACATAATTACCAATTAAATGTTTATTAGATGAATTAATAAATGAAGAACGATATTAAGCCTCTCTGATCCCCTCTAAGTAAATCATTAATCCCCGTCCTCTGCACCACACGCTATCTAATTTTGCCTTCAGAGATCCTTTTTTTTTTTTTGTATCGGGGATTGAACCAGGGGCACTTAACCATTGAGCAATATCCCCAGCCCCACCCCACCCCATTTTTAAATTTTATTTTATTTGGAGAAAGGGTCTCACTGAGTTACTTAGGGCCTCGCTAAATTGCTGAGGCTGGCTTTGAACTTGCAATCCTCCTGCCTCAGCCTCCCAAACTGCTGGGATTACAGGCATGTGCCACTGATTCCTCTGGACATCCTTAAGTTTGAAGAAATGTGCCAAAGTTGGGGGCAATTTGATAGGAGGGAAAATATAGAACACAGAGTCAAACAGCTGATTTCAGCTCTTACACCTATTGGTTGTGTGGCTCATCTTAGGCAAGTTGCTGAACCTTTCCAAATCTTCATGTATAAAATGTGACTCTGAAGGGCAACTTCATGGATTAAAATAAGATGTTTAACTATGGTTAGTATTATTCAAACTAAAAAGCCTTCTTTGTCCATAATCATAGTGATGATAAGGGTCATAAAAACCTACAGGATACAAGCATGGTGGTGCATGCCTATAATCCTAACAACTTGGGAGGCTGAGGCAGGATGATCACAAGTTCAAGACCAGCCTCAGTAATTTAGTCAGGCCCTAAGCAACTGAGTGAGATCCAGTCTCAAAATAAAAAATAAAAGGTGCTGGAGTGTAGCTCAGTGATTAAGCTCCCTTGGGTTTAATTCCCAGTAGCAAAAAAATAAAATAAAATAAAAAACAAACAAACAAAAACCCCATACAAGATATGGAAAAGTACCTGAAATTTCCTCAGAGTCTTTTTTCACACCCTCCTCTGTGGCCATGGTGACAGCAGCGGTGAGAGCCGAGTTCCATTCCAGTCCTGCCTCTTCCATGCTCTCTTCTGAGATGGCAATCTGTGTGATGCTACCTAAAAGAAGTCCRTTACATGTGAGGCCAGTGAATTTTATGCAAAAGCTATAGCTRCCTTCTATCTTATACAGACACACAGCCCATGTTATTTTAACATGCTCGCCTTGTCAGGTGCGGTGGTATATGCCTGAATCAGGAGACTGAGGCAGGGGGATAGCAGGTTCAAAGCCAGTCTCAGCAACTTAGCAAGAACCTAAGCAACTGAGCGAGGCCCTGTCTCAAAATAAAACATAAGGCCAGGCGCAGTGGCACACACCTATAAACCCAGTGGCTTGGGAGGCTGAGGCAAGAGGATTACAAGTTCCTCAACACAATTGCCTCAGCATCACAATTGCCTCAACAATTTAGCAAGGTGCTAAGCAACTCAGTGAGATCCTGTCTCTAAATAAAATACACAATTAGGGCTGGGGATGTGGCTCAGTGGTCGAGTGCCCCCAAGTTCAATCACCAGTACAAAAAAAAAAAAAGGCTGGGGATGTGGCTTATTGGTTAAACACCCAAGGGTTCAATCCCTGGTATTAAATAAATAAATAAATAAACAAACAAACAAACATGCTCACTTCTTGCCTGCAGGCCCATGCTTTAAGAACTAGACTCCTAGCTGAGCATGGTGGTGTACGCCTACAATCCCAGCAGCTGGGGAGGCTGAGGCAGCCTCAGCAAAAAAGTGGGGCACTGGGCTTGGGTTGTGGCTCAGAGGTAGAGCATTCGCCTAGCACGCGTGAGGCATCACATAAAAATAAAATGAAGATATTGTGTCTACCTAAAACTAAAGTAAATAAATAAATATTTTTTAAAAARTGAGGCACTAAGCAATCCAGTGAGACCCTGTTTCTACAAAAAATAACAAAATTTGGCTAGAGATGTGGTTCAGTAGCCAAATGCCCCCAAATTCAACTCCCAGTACTAAAAAAAAAAAAAAAAAAAAAAA